CTTGGTCATGAAGACAATCAAAAATCAAATATCCAGCATAGTGATGTTAAACGATGTTAAAGGACCACTCTAGGCACCCAGACCACTTCAGCTTAATGAAGTGGTCTGGGTGCCTGGTCCATCTAGGGTTAACCCATTTTTTCATAAACATAGCAGTTTCAGAGAAACTGCTATGTTTATGAACGGGTTAAGCCTTCCCCCCTAATCCTCTAGTGGCTGTCTCATTGACGGCCGCTAGAGGCGCTTGCGTGCTTCTCACTGTGATTTTCACAGTGAGAGCACGCAAGCGTCCATAGGAAAGCATTATGAATGCTTTCCTATGTGACCGGCTGAATGCGCGCGCAGCTCTTGCAGCGCGTGCGCATTCAGCCGACAGGGGGGAGAGAAGGAGGATCGGAGGAGGAGAGCTCTCCGCCCAGCGCTGGAAAAAGGTAAGTTTTAACCCCTTCTCCCTTCCAGAGCCGGGCGGGAGGGGGACCCTGAGGGTGGGGGCACCCTCAGTGCACTATAGTGCCAGGAAAACGAGTATGTTTTCCTGGCACTATAGTGGTCCTTTAATGCTTCTGTATTAGAAGCATTGGAGAGGTAAAGCGCGGTAATAGCTGCAGATACCCTATTGGTGCCCAGTGCTTCTGTATGAGATGCATTGGATTGGACCAAGATTGTCACAACTGATTATCTCTCAAAATACAGAGTGACTGCTGAGTTATGTAAATATTTAAAATAAAAATACATTTATATAAATTTTTAACCTTGTAGTGTTATTTTAACAGTGGAGAATAAAAGCACAAATACAAGACTTGTTCAAAACCAAAAAAAAATCTACATTTGAAATTAACTGAAGTCCTATTTTCTAAAAACTGACAAATAAGAAGTAATGATGGTTAGCACATGAGTTTTTTTTTTAATTATGGCTCCCCCACGCTGAAGCATGGAGAAGACAGTTTTTTGGTAGGGATCGATTTTGCTTATGACAGATCTGTGGGCTTTAGTAAGTCCAGGTCAAATGTATCCAGTTTGTTGCTTAGAACATACATGAGATAAAATGAGATCTACAGATTTACAGAAAGGTTTGAAGTCCCTTATTATTCAGCAATGCAAAATGTAAAGCTCAATTCAGTTTCATGTCCCTTTTTCTCTCCTCAGTCCCATCAGGTTTATATTGGATGAATTGAAAAGAAGCAGGGCTGGTTAAGAGCCCATTGGGCCTGGTGCTGACAATTATGATGGGCCTAATTACAGAATCTTATCAACAGTAAACACTAAAACAGTTATACCTTCCGAGAGTTATGTATCTGGTGGAGGTGGTGCTGGATGGAAACTCCCAGGATATAGCTATCAGAAAACACATACCCTATGCTAATCTCTCACTTTCACCTTTCAAGTAAATCCATACCCACTTACAGCAGTGTCTGGTGAAGCATGATTTCGGTGGGTGGGGTAAAGGATGGGCCACTGATGTGCATCACATAACCAGAACTGCCCAAATGGACAAAAATGCCCAAAAAAGGGGGCATGTCTGCACAAAGAATTAGATGGTCAGCCTGGCGTGAACGCACATCAGGCTGCCCACCAATCATGCAGAATGACCAACCAAGGGAATACAATGCAGACAGCACCCTGAGCTTGGCATAAATGCGTCTAAGGATGCGCTAGTTCTACGCTTTCTAAGGACTGTCCCCTAGCACTTGCTGTTCCATTGATCTCCATACCTTCTTACTAGCAGGCAGAAGCTCCTGCTCTACTGTCTGGGACAGAGAAAAAGTGATTGTAGTGAATGTAGAAGAAAGGGAACATGCCACAGTGTTAGAGAGACTGAAGCAGCAAGAGCATTTGCTTAGTGTGCAAAGTCAGCTTTACCTTAACTAATTTCATTGTAAGCCAGTCCACATCAATTTTGCTTCCCTTCATCCCTCTTAACTTTCCATACTTAAGCAAGAGCATGTGAATAGTAGTAAAAAAATGTCTATATATATATATTTTTTTTTTAATCAATGGGAATGGGCCTGGAGCTGCAGCTCTATCAGGCTCTATGTTAATCCGGCCCTGGAAAGAAGAGTAAAACAAAAAGTACTCAGACATGCTGTGTATCTCTATAAATCACTATAGAAGAGCTGAGAAGATATGTTTTGTTGAATAATTTCCTGCTGCAACTTGCTAAATTAATTCCTCATGTTTGTGAGGCTGTTATTTAGGCAAAATATGTCTACTTTGAGGAATGAAAGACTTAGAGACACATTATACATTTTCATGAATGTTCTTTTGTACACTGTAACATGTATTTTAATTTCCAAGTATTTCAAGAAAATGATACGGTACAAAACATTGTCAAGATAATGTTGTCAAGCAAGATAGTAAATCAAAACACACTCAAGAAGAAGAAACGTTCAACTCAGTCTAATGTCCCAGATTCCACTTTTTTTCTATCCGAAAGTCCATCAAAGGTGTCCAGATTTGATGTGCTTGAGGATAAAGTTAGTGGCATCCCTACCTGTTGGCAAATTTCAATTGTGTCATGTTTTCTCCAGGGCAACAAAAAAAGACAATATTCTTAAGACACATTGATAGAACCATTGAGACTTAGTAAATGATAAAATAATCAAGATTGTTACAAAATATCTTGATACATAGTAAATAATAAAGTCTAAATTTATTCTAAAATCCAAGAAAAAATACAACAAAATTCACAAAAAGAACAAATGAAAAATTCTTCTGCCTTTAGAAGAAGGGATATTAGAAGTAGAAAAAAAATACTACAATGCTCTTACAAAAAGGATACTCATCCAACTCTTAAAGCAGAGAACCCAACAAATTAGCATTAGTCCCACTAACACCCATGAACTAAAGTGGCTCATTGTATGAGCCCATTTTTCTTTACCCCTTTTCTAAATGTTTGCTACAATTTCTGAATGTGTTATGCCACAAATCAGCTTGTGAGTTCAGAGAGACCAACAGCTTAATTACCCAAGTTATAAAAAAAAAAGTTAAAAATGAAAAAACTTGCCCTGCAGGGATTCAGAAGTTGTGATAAAAGGGTCAACAAAGTGTAAAGAGCCTATATGTAGTATGAGATTACAACTTTGTTATGTTAAGTATTCTTCTTGTAATAGATGTGAGATAATGGTTCAGGGTAGATTTTCAAGCTAGTACAGGCCTATAGATAGAAATGCAAGTCTGTAAAGCAAGCAGATACCGTATACAAATACCAAACCATTAGATCAGAGTTAGAAAAAAAAAACAGTTGGTGACTATTCAATATCTGGCATAGAGCAACAGAGAAACTAACCCACAAAAAAGATAGAAGTAGACTTTACTAAATAAGGAAGAAGGATGTGATTTAAAGGGAACCTATAGTCCAGAAAATACCAATAGTTTTCACGGGACTATAGGTTGCCTTCTAGCAGTGTAATCACTGTCCACCACCCAATCATCTGTAAAATTAAAGGGACACAGTAAGCACCAAAACAACTTTTGATTTTTTTAAGTTGTTTTGTTATATAGATCATGCCCCTGCAGTCTAACTGCTCAATTTTCTGCCATTTAGGAGTTAAATCGCTTTGTTTATGCAGACTTCGTAACACCTACTCTGCATGTGACCTACACAGATTCCCTACACACTTTCTGAAAAGAGAGATATAATCTTTAAACATCTTTGTGAAGAAACCACTTCATATATGCAGTAATTTAGATTTGTTTTCTTTGTTTGATAGATAAAACTACCATACACCGACCACCCCCCTGGCTCATTAATTACAAAGAAGACCGCAAATTAAGGGTTCTCTCTGTGTGACTGCCGTTCGTATAGCCAAACGCCACGCCTTGGTCGCACAAAAGGAGGCAGCGGGACTTGGTCATCGAGTGTCTGGAACTAAAATTGCACACTTGACTTCCCGAACGCCATCAACTTTGCAAACGCCTGCTTCTTTTCACCCACCAGCCAGGAGAGCGCTTTTCGGAAGGGGAACAAAGCCAGGACATCCGTTCGTGAATTTGTTCGGTTTTTAGACTTCCTGAAAGAGACCGACCGCAAAGGCTAATTTCATGGAACTCTTTCTGGGCAGGAGCCTCATGTACGGTCGGCCAAATTAAGACTTCCCTGGAACACCCGAACCCCTGAACCGATATGGGTGATTTTTTTTATATGTTGGTCCCCCAGATCAAGGCTATAAGGGGACTTGTGGAGTTTCCATGAGATTTTGGGTACTTTCTGGGTTTTGTGTAAATGTGTGTTTTTTGGTTTGGAGATAATTTAGTATAGTTTAGTATAGTGCTTGACTCAATTATCTCCCAGGCACAGGGGAAGGACTATATTATTTTATGTCGGGGTGTCTTGGACCTGAGAGTCAATGTAACTGCAAAATGTATTTTGTCATTGTCCCCTCTCAGGTCCAGTGGGAAATGCTCCTGGAATATGTCACCATAAATCTGGAAATCAGTGCTATAGATGTTTAAAATATGTATTTCTTAGTTTTGGGTTAAAAAAATAGGGGTCGTCTTATACATGGGGGCATTTTATACACGGAAAATTACGGTATGTTTCCCAAACAAATTAATAGATTTACACAGACTTTTATAGTTAACTTTGAAAGGAATAGTCCTAAATACAATGAGGGGACTGATTTTGAATGTTTGCCCACTGACAAACAAATGATCAGTCTATAATTTTAATGGTAGGTGTATTTTAACAGTGAAAGACAGAATAAAAAAAAATCCAGAAAAAGGCATGTCAAAAAAGTTATAAAAGATTTCTGGCTTTAAGGTGTATTTTATACAGGTAACAAGCTGAGATTAGGAGCACTCTATTAAAGGGAGTGTTCCTAATCTCAGCTCGTTATCTATATAAAAGACACCTGTCCACAGAAGCAATCAATCAGATTCCAAACTCTCCACCATGGCCAAGACCAAAGAGTTATCCAAGGATGTCAGGGACAAGATTGTAGGCCTACACAAGGCTGGAATGGGCTACAAGACCATCGCCAAGCAGTTTGGTGAGAAGGTGACAACAGTTGGTGCAATTATTCGCAAATGAAGAAACACAAAATAACTGTCAGTCTCCCTCGGTCTGGTGCTCCATGCAAGATCTCACCTCGTGGAGTTTGAATGATGTAAGGAATCAGCCCAGAACTAAACAGGAGGATTTTGTTATTGATCTCAAGGCAGCTGAGACCATAGTTACCAAGAAAACAATTGGTAACACACTACGCTGTGAAGGACTGAAATCCTGCAATGCACGCAAGGTCCCCCTGCTCAAGAAAGCACATGTACAGGCCCATCTGAGGTTTGCCAATCTGAAGGATTCAGAGGAGAACTGGGTGAAAATGTTATGGTCAAATGAGACCAAAATGGAGCACTTTGGCCTTAACTCAACTCGCAGTGTTTGGAGGAGGAGGAATGCTGCCTATGACCTAAAACACACAGCCAAGGCAACAAAGGAGTGGCTCAAGAAAAAGCTAATTAATGTCCTGGACTGGCCTAGCCAGTCTCCAGACCTTAATCCATAGAAAATCTGTGGAGGGAGCTGAAGGTTCAAGTTGCGAAACGTCAGCCTCAAAACCTTAATGACTTGGAGAGGATCTGCAAAAAGCAGTGGGAAAAAATCCCTCCTGAGATGTGTGCAAACCTGGTGGCCAACTACAATAAACATCTGACCTCTGTGATTGCCAACAAGGGTTTTGCCACCAAGTACTAAGTCGAAGGGATCAAAAACTTATTTCACTCATTGACATGCAAATCAATGTATAACTTTTTTGACATGCGTTTTTCTGGATTTTTTTTTTTTAATTCTGTCTCTCACTGTTAAAATATTCCTACCATTAAAATTATAGACTGATCATTTCTTTGTCAGTGGGCAAACGTTCAAAATCAGCAGGGGATCAAATATGTTTTCCCTCACTGTAGATATAATATCGTAGGTAATGCATTGACAACATTAGTACAGCCCAACCAGGAGATGTTTGATCCTCTCCATGAAGAAAACTGTTGAGAGAAAGTCTTCAACATCGCCACATAATTATGATCAATTAGACCTTCTAAATAGGGAGTGATCCTAATTCCTAAATATTCTATACATGCGTTATTCCAGTCAAATCGATGCTGTGTCTTCAATATAATAAGATCTTCATTAGATAAATACTTAGTCAGAATTTGGGATTTATTAATGCTAATTTTAGAATTTGAATATCTACCAAAGGTAATAATTAAAGAAAGCAATGAATGAATTGATTTAACTGGCTTTGAAACTGATAGAACATAGTACATCATCTGCATAGAGCATTATTTTCTAGACCTGGTTCGGATTCCTTGAATCTCATCATGACTAGTGAAAATTGCTAAAGGTTCAATTGACAATATATAAGACAGGAGTGTCAAAGGGCATCCATGCCTAGTACCAATTGAGATAGAAAACCTATCTGATTCAAAAAGAGGGCCAGCAACTTTAGCTGTGGAATTGGAATATAAAGACATGTTCTCCTTAATTGGACCCATTATTCCAAATTTATGGAGAACCAGGTCTAGATATCTCCAACTAACTCTATAAAATGCCTTTTCAACGCCTAAGACTAAAGGCAGAACTGATACAGTGTATGTCAACCTTATGAATAATGTTAAAGATATTCTGAATGTTATCTAAGGAGCTTGTATCAGTAACACAACTATGTTGATATCCATGGATCATATTGGGAATTACTAACTTTAATCTATTTGCCAAGATTTTAGAGAAGATCTTCACGTCAAGGTTGATTAACGACATAGATTTATAATTTGATGGTAAATCATGGTCTTTTCCTATTATTAGAATGGGACAGATGATACCTTGGAGCATCTCCTGAGGTAATTATTTAATGGAAAAATCATTAAATATTTTAATAAAATAAATGTAGTAATGCCCTGAATTTGTTGATTCAATAAAGATGAAAATCCATCAGGAACAGAAGCTTTGGCAGGCTTTAATATTTTTAATTTCTAATTCACAACATGGTTTATTTAAAGTTTCAAGACCATCTTTGGATAGTCTAGGAATTTTCTAACAAAAGGAAATTACTGATGTTAATTTCTGAAGGTATCTCAGCTTTCAAATTGTATAGTTTTTTTTATAATAGTTCGCAAAGGTTTCCGCAATCTCATTTGCAGAAAGATAAGATTTGCCATTCATAGTAAGCTTACTAATAATCTTTTGTTTTCAGTTGTGTTTCAATTTATTTGATAAGTACCTGAAACCTTTTAAATGAAAGACAGACACCCTCCTAAACAACATTAAATATCCAATCACAGTTTCCCTATATATCTTTTCTTTACATGACGTGTTATTTCAATATCTTTCCTTATGCTGGCTAAACTCTAAGCTTCTAAGGGGTACAGCATAAGCCTTTGTGAACTTTAAAGTATTTAAATTAGATATTCTCATGCAGTCGAGCAGCAATATCTAATAAGACCATCTCCTTGGAAGACCAACTGAAACTGGAATTTGCAAGAGGAACCCATTCTAAAGGATCCACAAGTAGCACATGTTTCACTGAGTTGGACACATCAAAGAAGAAGGCCCAGCCAGGCAATAGTAGCACAGTTAATGCTATTGTCTTGCTGCCCATATGCAGATAACTCCACAAGTTTCTTTAACCTTATCTGATATTCCGTTTCCTGTTATGCTATGCTTTGGTGTCATTGACAGAATTGCCCGAGAACACTGTAGGGCTTCATTGCATGAAATATATTATCCAACAGCATTGTTTTAGCACAGTCTGGAGTACAAAGACATTATCCTAAACAGAGCATGACCTGTGCTGAACTATAAAACCCTTGCATAGTACTGATCTAAAGAGACTGGGTATACAAGCTTGGTAAAGCGATCTAAAAAAAAACAAAAAAAAAAAACATAATATTTGATTCTCAAAGTGCTATATAAACAATACCAGCTGTATATCTACATTATTCTCTTAGTTCTTATCATTATTGGCTCGGACTTTCCAGGAGTTTCTGTTGAGATATGAGTGTGGCAGCCCAGTCCCTCCCTGAACCTTGGCATTTTTCCACAAGCCCTCCTATAATTAATTAATTGGATACATGAAACTGGCAGGTAACCATAGCAAGTCTGTGATATCTCCGATACTGGCAATTGTCCTATTCATACTTCTCTGAAACCTGTGTACTACTGTTAATGGCTGGCTGGAGTCAAAGAGCAACAGGAAAACGACAACATTGATAGGAGTATGTGTAATGGTATAACAAACGGAACTCGAGCCAAACGATACATTGTTTTTATATGGTTCTTTGTAAGAGACTGCAGGGTACTCAGATATGCCACTGGTATTACTGTGAGACACTTATTTTGGAAAAGTAGCAATAAATAAATCAGTCATGCGTTTTCATTACATTGTGTGCATGTTTTTATCTTTATAAAGGGACATTTATTTATTTGACATAAGTCTGAAGAAAGTTCTGTAAGGTTTATTCAACTTAAATTCAAAGTGAAATTCAAATTTAAGGCCAAAGTAGCCGAACTAGAAGCATATCTGACTTGGAGAATTTTTTCAATTTTGCTTTTTGGATCTTACAATGTTACGCCAAGATTCATGACCACTTCTGCTTTTAGAAGTGGTCTTGAAGGAAGGAATCTCTTTGTGCAGCCTCTCTGCTTGAAACGTTTTATATTCAGAGATATTTGCACTTTGCACTTTGTGCCAGGGGCTCATTACACCCCCGACACAAGATTTAGGGAGCCCGGAACTCTGTGCAGGCAGCGCTGAGATTGCATCTGCAACAGAAAGTGTCTATGCCCCCTCCCTTGTTTTACCCTTCCCACCATCCCCGCATCTTCATACTCTTAAATTGTCACACATTTTATTGATCTCTCCCCTTTCAGTCTATTATTAATTTCTTCTCTCACATTTTATCACAATTTGCCGAATATCAATTTTACTTCCAAACATCATTTCTGAATCTTCAAACAAAACCTCGTCCCATTTGTCATCCAGTCCATGTGGAGATGGCAGGAGTACCTTTTCTGGTGTCCAAGGTCTATGTATTTTTCTGTCTTGCAGTCAGCTAGTGACAGAAAACAAGGAAATAGTTATGTTACTTGCGCTTTTTTTGGTATACAGGCGGACTGTGATGCACAATCAAAATAATATGATCCCAAATTACTTAAACTGTGTGCTTTGCAAAATATTAATAATCTATTGCTACATACAGGGGTATATGTAAGAAAAAGCCCTGCTTTTTTACTTTTATAGTGCAATGTCAGCCCATAAACTCACAATCTAATATGTTCTGTAAAATGTAAGATATCTGAGGATACTGTGATTTGTAATATCAAGTCATGCAGGTAGGTCCCAGTAGACTGATCTACGGGCAGTTCTGCTCACAATTGATGCCAGAATACCCTGTTGTCAATTGTCTGTGATTGCTGTGGAAACTCTGTCTAAAGTGAAGGGAACTTAATAATTAACTCCCTGAGATTGAAGTTGCAATAATATAACCACATTAAACAAAGATTTATGCTTTTTGTGAACAGAACGTGGATTCAATTTTTTTTAATGCCTGCCCCTCTCTGAAGCAGGACTTAGCCTTAGCCACAATGGATATTTACAGTGGACCTCAAACTTCCTCAAATCTACACTAACTCCTTGGGTAAACAAAACTCAATCATAATACTCTCTAGATAAATATCCTGCTGGTGATTAAAGCTCCCTCTTTACATAAGGCAGTCTTTTGACTATTGGAACGAAATAATTCTCTGACATCATAATTAACATCTAGGATATTGCATTTTGTTCCAAAATAAAATCATTCCCAGTTAAATGTCAGTCATAGCATAAAACAGTTGGCTTATCAATCTACCAATTTTAAAATTCACATTCCAACCGTTATTCACTTTCTTCATTACATTAGTCATTACCACTTCTACTGGAATGCTCTATCAGGTATCCACTTCCCTTTCAATAAAGTGGCATTCTCTCACGTAACCCACCAGTCTTCCACTCTTCAACTTCAGACATGCCACTAGTTCTGTCTCTTTATAAATAAAACATTGTATCAGTTCATGATGATAATCAAGACAATTTGGTAAAGGAGGTTCATCACGGCAAATTCTGCAAGGATACGTACCCTAGTTCTCCAGGTACTGATGCATTATTGTCAATAGGCTGTCTTACGGGGGATTAGATTCAATATATGGATCTCAACCACCTGAACTGGAAGTGACAACATCAAGTGTTAGCCT